ATTTACATATTTTATATCGAATCACTTAGAGAGATTAATTAAGAATCATTGACTAAGACAAAAAGGTTAAATTAAAGATGAGATAAAGATTTAAAGTCACGATTCATTTAAGTTGCCGTGTTTGAGAGAATGGAATCAAGTTAGGCAATTTGACCTGTTGTTTAGATGGGGTGAGAAGTTCAAGTGCTCGCTCGCTAGACCACACACTCCTGCCTCCTCGTAACACAACATGGACTTTCTCTTACACTTATTTTAACTTTCATATATATATATATATATATATATATATATATATATATATATATATATATATATATATATATATATATATATATATATATATATATATATATATAATAATCTTTTTTTTTCTCTTGATATTTTTTTTTCCTTTTTCTAAGTCTTGGTTACAGCTCTCTCTCTCTCTTAATTATTCCCTACTACTCTTACATTAACCTGTCAAGATACAATTTAAATCAGAAAGATGAAACATATATAAAAAAGGAACTCTCTACCTCTTTTTTATACTGTCTAAGAACTCGGATATTACCCTAACCTAACCTAACCTAACCAAACCTAGCCTGTGGACAAGAAGCTTCACCTGGCCAACATTCTTAATCTCTTTAGTATTTTTATATTAAGTGAATCTGTTCCATGTCCAGGTAAAGTGTGGAATGAAAAGTAATGACTAATGAGGTGTTGTTTTTGTACAGTGAGTCTACCTTGTTTGAGCTTCTCCTGCCATAGCCTCCGTTTCTGGTTGTGTCCAAAGTGAGGTCTAATGGAAGACTTAGGAGTATATGAGTCTTTGTATATGCCAGTGAGACTCTTAACATCTTTTTGGTGATGTGAAAGATCCTATCAGTTTGTGCCTACACTTGAGTTGTTCTGATGCAAATATCAAGTTTTCTCTCAAGCAAAAGCTGTAATATAATAAAGAATAATCGTAAAATACACAAATACTGAATAAAATTACAGGCGTCACAATATACAATGTTAGTTTTTGAAAAGAGGCATTTTAATACATGTAACAAGGCACTTCAACAACTAAAGGCATTTATCTCGCTAAAAATCAGTCACCACGTAGAGTAAGTAGATCTGTGAATAGGTCTTAATATATAACTAAATCAAAATATATGTGTTCTAGTCAAATCATAATATATAATTACTTATATTACATAGAATCAAAACTAAACCTTCAAGTAATCACACCGTAATCATACACTGTTTGCCTGTACTCAAGTAAGGTCACAACTCGCTCTGGTTGGTAACTTTTCAATGTTGATTCTTTGTCCTTTAATCTCTCGACCGCCAAAACATAATAGCTCCGGGAGATGTATTGTTGGATCTGTGAGTCAAAGGTCTTCCCGCTGTAATAGGAGGCAGCCGACACACACAGGCCCGCAGTGTGTTAAATACGTACAGAGATAAATAAAAGCCGCTGACCGCCCTAGTCACGCGGCTCTTCAACCTCAATAATTAAAGTTAAATTTAGAACAACCACAACAGCGGGAAGATATTAATGGAAGACTGAGGAGGTTTTACTCTGAGTCAGGACGAGATATATGGCAGAGACTCGTCCTTCTAGAGACCACTGAAAGAGAGTCTACAAGTTGTGAGGCTCAAGACGGTAGCTTATACGAGGAACAATTTTGACCTCGCTGTAAAGAGGATCTGTCTCATCATTCATCGTAATGGACGGAATCTTTTCTCCAAGTCATACCAGCATGTTGCGTCCACTACATGTAATAATATGAGACATTAACAAAATAGAGTAAAGAATATCGTGTTGTGTATAACTAACAAAGAGAAAAATACCATATCTTATGATTTGTCTGTCATGATAACATCAAAGTTTGTCTGTATGCATTCCTCACTTCCGCTCACCAGTCCTTGGGCGATGAATTAATATGGGATTGTCTGTGGTCGAGGATTTCTGAACTGTATACCGGGTCAGTGAATAAGAATGTACACATTTTAGACGGTTATATGTTAAGATCTATAGTCTTGGATCACCTGAAGGTCTCCACCCTAGGCAGCGCTGGGGTGGAGATTCTTCACGTGGAACGGGCAAGGGTGGAGATAGTTCTAGATATTTGACCCAAAAAGGAGACTTTTATTAGAAACACAAATAAAATGTTTGTTATCTTTATTATCAGTTTATTAGAATAAGCGTCAAGCGTCAGTTTCTCAATTGATGTTAAAAATTACAGATAATTCTACAAAAGCGTCAAAAATACATATCCAAACTGCCTTACAGATGTTCATGGTGATCGCCTGATGTTTGTGCGGTTCTATAACACCAACATCGTCCTCACTTGTTGACGTACGAGGTCTCACAAGGGAGGACAATGTTACTATTGTAATACAAACATTCACGTCATCTCCACGAAAATATGTAAGGCAGTGTATGCATACATTTTGTGAGACACCCTGTAAATTTTTTATCATAATCTCAAGATTCGTGTTTACGTCGTGACAGTGCAGGACGACATAATGTAGATTGATTCTTAGGGAAGATAAACGTAAGTACAGTAGATACAGTATGACCACAGTGGGCCAGACAGGGGGGGGGGGGCATTTTAGGCCCATCAGACCTTTTTTTCTTGTTTCAGACTATCCACTCATAAAGGCGACATATTCAGCATCAAACCTAAAGAGTCAGATTGTTCCTTTTATAAATGTTGAGATGTGATTGTTTGAAGATAAAACTATTTCAAAGACAACATATATTTGAGATTTGCTAAAGTGTCAGAATCACTCATTGGAATTACCTTAAAAAATTTCTGAAACATACAATTTGTTTATAACTCAAAGAAGAAAAGTGTAGCATAATTGTTGTATTAATAAAGGTTCCTGGAGGAGACGGAAGGAACAGGTGATAACTGCTGACATAACTGAGACAAGACTCATTAAGATATACGAGCCTGACAGTCATCCACCAGCACACCTTAACACTATGTAAGTTCACATCTGAGTCAGTAATTTTGTCCTCATAAACAGTTACGTCTCCCTCCAGCCCAGAGCCTCGCCTCCACCGGCCAGGAACTCCGCCACCAGTGCTGCCGTACCCCTCAATCGTCGGTGTTGCCTGAAGCAATTTCCTCATACACCTATTTGCCCCTGTAATACCGTGCTTGCTCAGGGCGACGTTTGCTTGTTACGCCAAGCTTCAAGTTTTGTCATTTCATCAGAATAACTCATATAATTTAAACCACGCTAAAATGTAGCTTCTATCGGAGGATGAATGTGACAAGGTCGTCACTGAAGATTAGTGCACGTCACCGCTTTTTCTTGGGATAATCTTACAAGTTGTCATGTATGGTGCATTAACCAACCTCACACTGCAAGGGAAACACTCCCGAGGTAGATTATTTCTGACACACCCACGTGACAGGAGAGAAAAACACACCTCTCAACGACGCCGACAGGGGAGACTCTCGCCTGGTCCCTTGAGGATGTACACACACAGGTGCTACACCAAGATGTCTTAAAGATGATGAATTACTTTAAAATAATGAATCTATACAATTATAGAATAACAGCCTGCAAAAAAAATTATTAAATTAGGTAAGATGTGAAATGAGGTCAATTTGCGGTGGAAGATCAAAATACTGATACAAGGAAAGTTTGAACTAATTTCTGGTTATTATCATGTAAAGATATAAGTATTTAATCAGAAATTGGTTTTCTAATATTTCTAAAGTAAATATTTAAGTGTTTTTCCACACTACCATGTTAATGACACCAGAGAATAGAAAGACGTGTTTTTTTTTTAATCTTTACTCACAGTTACTCAAGCTTACACTACACAACTTCCTCTACTACAGCGATGACTTTCCCTTTATCAAAACTATCTACCGATTAACCATCTCTCGGTAAACATTCCTGTAATAATCCACCAGTCACCCATTAGATCATGTCTCCCCCTGACTGAGGACCTTCCTAGGAATCAAACTCCCCCCACGGGTCAACACCTGCTAGTCCGTCTCCCCTCAACCGACCTCTTCCTTAACAAACTATATAGGTGGCCAACTTGGATTCTGATTAGTCAGCCTCAAGACGAATTTTATTATGCAAAACGGCTTATTTTTCCTTGCTCTTGCTACCTGTGTCGTGTAGGTGAGGTTGTAGTGAAGATAACTCCCCTAAACACTGTGGTGAGTATAATAATAATAATAACGTGTTGTTCTGTGGAAGCTTTACACTGGTCGACGGTTGATGTAATACTGTGGTTATTTATTACGTGTGTGTGCAACAGGGTGTGTGTGTGTGTGTGTGTGTTATACGAGAATATATACAATGTATGTTTATGACTATGTATATATGTGTCTGTGTATGCATGTAAGTATATGTGCATACATATGTAAGTTAGTATTTGTATATTTACTGTGCACATGAATGTAGTCACACACACACACACACACACATAAATCACCATAGGAAGTAACAAAGGCACAAACAAAATATATGAAATTTCATTGAAAAAAAATTGAAAATATTGTAAAAAGAAAAATCCTCAAAAACTCGTCAGCTCTGCGTAAAGAGACAAATTTCCTGTCTTTAATAAACCTGACAACTCGTTACACGGGCGGCTGACTCAGAGTAACATGCAAACTCCTTCCTGCAGAAACTTTTGACTCGCTTTGATAGAAGTTTTGTAACCTGGAAGAGAGAATTTTTATATACACAAATAAATAAACAGTTACGTAAACAAAGAAAAAATGCTGCACTTGTATACAGTTCGTCGTTTATTAAAGTTGTACAGTAAGTTTAGTAACATATTTCTCTTCTGAGTGATACACATTTCCTCGGGACAATTCACTACATATTGATGATAAACCCTCGAGGCTGATGATGAGCTGTAGGGCGCACCCAAAACATATAGTATAGTATTGTTGCGTTGTCTTTGTTGCGTCCTTAAAATGGGGGTGGTGCTGGTGGGGGAGCTACCTGACCACCAAGTATATAAGCCAACGCGTCGTCCACTTGCCACCACAGCTCTCAGTTTCCCTCTTTCACTTCTCTGCTTCTCGTTAGAGCTCGTCCTCAATATTTCTACAGTTAAGAAGGAATACCAAAAGAAAACTCTCATTTTTTCTGTTTCGTATTTTGGTGAAAGTTTAGTCATGGGTGTGGCAGTGAGGAGCCTTGTATTTCTGGGTAAGATTATTATACTTTCGATTACTTCCTGCCTTTTGTAGATTTGTTAGGAATGTTATAGAATCTAACTTTATATCCTGGTATAGTCTGTCATTATATATATATATATGTTTCAAGTTTTAGTAAGGTCATGTAATTCGGCCTCTTACCGCTTCTTGCCGTCAGTGACCCGCCCTACGGAACCTCTTGAATCTGACCAGCCACTTCCTCCACAGGTTTGATTGCCGCGTGTCTGGCTCAGCAGCAGAGTTATGGCCTGCCGACAAATGACTTGAGCGGCAATGGCAACAGTATCGATTATGGAGCCTATAACAACAGAAATAGTAACGGTAATGGCAACGGTAACGGCATAGATACGAATGGTGGTTATAGCAACGGGAATGGAGGTAATGATTACGATTATTCTTACGAAAATGGCAACGAAAATGGTGGATATTCCAATAACGCCAATACCAACGGTAATGGTAATGGGAATAACAATGGCGATTATGGTAATAACTATGACTACGATAACTACGACAGTGATACGAATAATGGTAACAATAATGGTGGATACAACAGTGACAATGATTACAATTCATACGATGATGGTGATTATAACAACGGAGGAAACGGCTATAGCTCTGCCAACGGTGACTTCCCTAATAATATTGGTGGCGGGGTCCCCGGCGTGGACTATCCCATCCTGGCTTCTGTCCCCTTCACTGGATTCTCCTGCGGCGGATTAATACCCGGATACTACGCTGACACTGCCCCCGAGGCCGACTGTCAGGTGAGTCTCATAATGCCCTGAGGCCGGCTGTCAGGTGAGTCTTATACTGCCCCGGAGGCCAGCTGTCAGGTGAGTCTTATACTGCCCTGGAGGCCGGCTGTCAGGTGAGTCTTATACTGCCCCGGAGGCCGGCTGTCAGGTGAGTCTTATACTGCCCCCGAGGCCGGCTTTCAGGTGAGTCTTATACTGCCTCCGAAGCTGGTTGTCAGGTGAGTCTTATACTGCCCCCGAGGCCGGATGTCAAGTGAGTCTTATGCTGCCCCGGAGGCCGGCTGTCAGGTGAGTCTTATACTGCCCCCGAGGCCGGCTGTCAGCTGAGTCTTATAATGCCCTGAGGCCGGCTGTCAGGTGAGTCTTATACTGCCCCCGAGGCCGGCTGTCAGGTGAGTCTTATACTGCCCCCCGAGGCGGACTGTCAGCTGAGCCTTTTACTGCCCCTGAGGCCGGCTGTCAGCTGAGTCTTATGTTGCCCTGAGGCTGCCTAGTGAATACAACGCTTACCTCCCATGGTAAGTGAAGGTGGTCGAATGCAGCGTCGTCCACATTTTGTATACAGTGTGCTGTTCGGTTAAGTATTCATTTTCTTAATATTTATTCTGTTTTATACTAGAGGGACTGTGAGCGATGAGAATTATGTAGTGTTATTTTTAGTTTAGGTCCTTAATACTTATCCTAATGAATCTTTGTGTGATATTGATATATAATTAATGAAAGTTCACCTCCACCCTTCTCTTCCTATTTACTAAAGGAGAGGCCTAGAGAGGAGAGTATTTTATATTACTTTGAGTAAAATCTACTTACATGGCATACATTCAAAAGCTTCGAGCATCTAGGTATATTATTCTGCGTTATATTCCCATGATTTCCCTGAACATGACACACTGAAGCCTCACTGTATGACAAACTATGTTATTCCTTATTATATATGACTCTTAATACAGTTCTAAAGAAACCCATCTGAAGTTAATATGAAGACATTGATAACTTGTTCAAAACCTTAGCCTCATAGTTATTATTGAAATGAATCCAAATATAACTTAATATGGTGTGTGGTTTTTTCAGTTTGTTTACAGTCAGTTGTTTACAGATGATGGGAATTGGTTTGTTTGTGTAGCCTATGTGACAGTTACTATCACCCAGTCTCAGTTGGTGAGTTAATTGTACTCTTCTGTTCATTAGTTACTGGACATTATATTATATTCATATCCTGGTTACTAGCACAGGCAGGTATCTTTGTTTACATTCAACATCACTTCCCTCTGTTTATATTAAACATCACTAGTAACACTTTAATATCGTTTATGAGTTTGTCAACATCAGGCAGAACTATTAATTACTTTTTCTAGTAATGTTGTCCTCGACAGGTGTTCCACATTTGCCAGGATGGAGGCAGGATCGACTCCTTCCTGTGTCCCAACGGCACCATCTTCAACCAGCAGTTCTTCGTGTGTGACTGGTGGTACAACTTCAACTGTTCTAACGCTGAACAATTCTACGACCTCAACGCTCTCATCGGAGTGTTTAATGAAGACAACAGCGGAAACGGAGTTAGAACCGGTTATCCATACAGTCTGTTTTTCAATGACGCTTCCAACGGGCCAGGAAATGTAAATAACAACGGATACACTAACGGTGTAACAAACGGAGGTGGCAACAGAGCTGCAGGTTATGGTAATGGTGGTAATGGTAATGATTCCGGTAATGGTGGTAATAGTTACAACAATGATTATTCTACTGATTACGGTAATGGTAATGATATTGATTACGATTATGGTGGTAATGGAAATGATTATAGCACCAATAATGGTAACGGTTATGGAAATGATTACAATAATGGTGGCAATGGTAATAGTAATGACTACACCTCTGATTATAATAACAACAATAATGGTAATGGAAATAACTACACCGCCAATTACAGTAATGGAGGCAGATACACCAATGGTAACAGTAATGGTCCTAATGCTAATGGGGATAGCTTCACGGGTATCAGCGGGAGTTATGATATCACCGAGAATGGTATCAACTACGTGCCCGGTAAAAGCGCTACTCAGCCAGCCACCCCAAATAATCTGTACAAATCACCAAGCTTCTTCGCCATATAAGCTTCATCCTCAAGTCATGAAGCTGTAGGCTCTTGGCTTCACCTATCGCTAACTTTTTCTTTAACAATTATGAACTTTTGTAGTGAAATTAGTGAGAGTTTTGCGGTATACATTCCTAAGTAAACATAGGTTACAGTTGTAAGTTATCGATCCTGACATCACAGGATAACGCCGTAGACACCAGATTGTACTTTAGTCTTGGTCGAAGTAGAGTTGATGACGGCTGTAGTGCTTGTGTTGACTTTATCTGTTATCGTCTTCACTAACTCAACTTGCGCTGTCTTGTGTTATCTAGTCTTCTTATATATATCCAAAGTCTCGTATTTTAATGCTTTTATTGAAGGAATACTTGAGGAAATTTGTGTTTATAAATGTTTTCCTTTGTTTTAGTATCGCTAATGTTTACAAATGTTGGGAACTTTAGGTGTTGTATTGACTTGATTGATCACATTAATGTTCATCCCAGACAATCATACGAGACACTTGTGTATTAAGTCATTGGTCTCCTAACATAAATACCTATAACTACTGATATATTCTTTGAGGAATTATCTTCAGTTTGTTCTTGTTTTATCTTACTTGTTCTTGTCTTTGTTTTATGTCACGTGTGTTTTTGTTGTACGTGTTGTGCTGACTGTTCCTCACCTGTCCCGGCAGTGTTAATGCTATTGTAACACTGTTCACATGTTCAGGGATTTAGTGTGTGTATGTATGTATGTGTGCGTGTGGGTGTGCGTGTGTGTGTGTGTGTGTGTGTTTAAAATACTTAGATACTTGTGTTATGTCTTTGATAGATACTAATACACCTGATTATATTTTTATATCTAAATAATTTTATGTACAAATGGAAGATATATATCTATATATATAATAAAGATACAAAAGATTGAGAAAGTTTGTCTTCCTGTGGTCGCGTTCAGCTGATGCTCTGTATAGTAGGAACACAACATGTGAGAATTAACCTGCATCCTAAATATAAATTCAGTGTGATTAATAACAACAAAACTAACACATCCACTTGAAAAAGCACATTATTTGAGTCTAACAAGAGAGGGCGCCGGAAGTGGGCAGGGGGGACAGGAGGGACCTCCCTTGAATTTATTGGGGGACAAATTTTAACCCCCCACCCACCCCACCCCTCCGCCATGGTCTCACTGCCTGGGAATGTTTTGGCCAGTGAAAAGCGTCACTGTCTAATGTACAACTTCCTTTTGTTAGGCTTGTAAAATGGTTTAAATTATTTCATTACAAATATAAAGGCAAAAAAAAAAGGTTTTGATAAGGTTATTCACTAGTTTGATTTTTTTTTTACTTTATAGGTATGGCAACTCCGGCAAACATGCCACCGAACTGGCAGTCTGCCGTTTGCCACATAAACTTTGGTGACATTGGCTATATCAGTGCTGCTCCGTCTCTAGATTACGTTATCATGATTTAAGGCTAGATATTTGTCCAACCGGTATTTGAATATTGCTAAAGCACCATAACCCACATCGTTATGTGTCTATCTGTAGTAATAAAAGGACGTGTCTGTCAGCGATTGTGTCTGTCTGTCTGTGAGTCTGTTCCAGCCATAGCTCCAAAAGACTGTGCAGCTTGGAATTACTATTGACCACAGACCACTGGATGATGAGGACAAGAAACAAAAATCTCTCCCAACTGAGATATCGTAAACTATGGCAGTCAAGGTTATACAGTACTGTCACCTCAGATAGTCCGTGTCCTCGGCAATCAGAATGAGCCGCTGGAGTGAACCCTGTGAGTCCTCTGGTTCAGTTTTAATTTTCAACCCATAGATGGAGCTTCTTACAGCTCGAGTTAAATAACACGGTGCCTAGTATAGTTGCCAGGAGTGTCCCGATTAACACGTGGAGCTGATCATGCCTGGTGACTTTATACTCAAATTACTCATGTGAGAGCAAGACTAAGTTAAAATAGAAACATATTATTAGGAGATCAATGCTGTAGAAAATAATATTTGGTTACTTATCATGAAATGTAAAGAGAAACGTTACCACGTAAGTCTCCACATTATATAGGGCAGTGGTGGGCAGCCCAGTTAGTCAGTGGGCCTCATAAGTGACCCTCCCTCACCTCAGTGGGCCACATAAGTGACCCTCCCTCACCTCAGTGGGCCAAATAAGTGGGTCACATCGCTTCTAGATCAACGAAATCGGGTATTTGGTAAATTTAAAGAGATACAATCGAAGTCTCATAGTAATGAGACAGGTTCATTCAGTCCCATGAAGCTCCGACACTTGCTTTGATATGTTCTGTTAGTCGGTATCATAAACTGCGACGGACAGTTTCCTTGTAGCTGTTGTCGCGTTTAGAAGTGTCACAGTCAAGAGTTAAAAAATTGTATCAGTGATGATCTGATTAATTGTGAATACGATCTTAGCGCCGCAACTTATCGTTGGTGGTAGAATATAAATTGGAGAGGTAAGTAGTGGTCAATACGGGCTGTGTTTGTTGCGGTTAATGTGTTAAATATGAGGATGTACTGTACAGTTGTCCACAGTTCCACCAGTGGTTGGTGCGTTCTGTGAGATGTGGCAGTCTGTGTTTGTTCACTTCCTAGTAAAAATCCCGGAATGGCCCTGAGGAACTTCGTAATAGTAGCCAGACTAACGATACTCTGTCTCTGAATTCAAGCATTTCTTGCATTATAGTTTTAATACAGATTACTAAATAAAACGTAATTAGCTCCAACCTGTTATCTCAGTAGCGGTGTTGGTGAGGTGTTGTGACGTAAGGAGAGGGAAAGGTGGAGGGTTCTCTTCGCTGTCGTTAGTAATGTGTCCTCAGTCTGTGAATGAAGGTGTTTTATATGTGGAATAAACCAATGAAACGTTATTGTATCCAGTCTTCTTTATTATGAGGACAACATTCATACTCTACTGGATGTCAAGCCTGAAGCATAACCTAATGTACCATTGCATAAGGAGAAATGTTATTTATATGCGTTTGCTGTGCCAGAATAAGATAGTTTTCATACTCGTGAAATAAATATGCGGGTAATGATAAAGAGGATACAATCGCGTTGTATAAATCACATATGGTAAAGGGGTAAAATGGGCGACATGAAGTACTTCACTCCAAGGTGACCTGATATTAGACTTATATGTAATCGAATCCACTAATACCAAGTTCGGTTTCTGTATAAATCACTCCTTCAGATCCTGCCAATATATAACGCGATACATAGTTAGTGACGACTTTCTCCTTAGTTATTACGAAAAATTTTATACGAGTAAAGCGGGATGGAAGGTTAATCTGAATTTCTTTTCCAGGAAGGTGAAAGTTAACAGCTCCTCGAGGGACTGTAGTACACCACAACACACTCTAGGTATGTCCAAGTCAGTTTTATATATCAAATATCATTGTTTGTTTGTTTTTACTTGCACGGGAATCTTGCGTCTCCGCTAAGTCGCCGTCACCTCCCGTGTTGAAGATCGGGATTACGCTTGTTGTATAAAGTCACTTGGGAAATTTTCTTGATCCAGTGACGTTCTAGATAGTGACTTGCGTATATCATTAATTCAATCAACTTACGGAACTTTGAATTTCTTTATGCCAATATTATGTGATCTTTTAAGTCAATTTCCAATGCAGCATCATGCATCCTCCTACAACTGGCATTTTTTCCAGTGCTTCTTGTGATTACCAAAGCTCGGGTACAGAGTGCATCATAATATGCAAAAGTTAGATTTCATTGTACATTTCGCAATACAGGACTGAATTTAGATTCAGTCAGATGTTAGTTATCCTTCCCCGAACGAGGATGACGTCTCTCAGTTATCTGATTCTTCCTTTAAGATGTCCCTCCAGTTTGTTATGGTCTTCCACTTTCATACACTGGTGGTTATTTGAAGGAAACACAATAATCTTATTTTCATATCGTGTTTTTTTTTTCAAATAAAATATATCGTAGTAAAATATGGTGCTCCCTGACAGGTAGCACGAATTGTTCTCCGAAGTTGTCTTGTTCACCAAAGGCTCTTCAGTGTTCAGGGCCATATCCAAAGACCAAAACTTAAATTGAGTTTTTATTCTGGAATTTGGAAGCCCTTGGCTGCATCCTCTTGAATCTGTCGATTTCTGTTTCCCTGGCTCACCCTCGGGGCACCCCTACTTCACCCCGCATTTTGGGTACCTAACTTTACAGTTGGGCAAAGTGAAGATGGCAGTGTGCAGTACCTAAAACAGGATTAGTTTAAACTCTACCGTACACTGTACTCATTAGTCTTTCAGGTCTACGAGATTCTTTCATAGACGGGGGCGTCGATGTGTTTCTGCTCAGTCAGTTTCTACACATTTTCTATGATAATTTATAGGAGAAAAGGTAACTAAGCTTAATTCTGCGACAATATTATGCAAGGTTATTAGAAAAGTTATACTGCATATGTTTTCGTCTCCGTGACCTGTGTTTACTGTTAAACATGATTAAGTTTAATGAATATTGACGTCTCCAAGAAGAAGTAAAATTTGTGAATCTGGTTTAAAATAGTCATTAATAGTCTAAAAAAATAATAATCTGTAACAACTATTTGCGCATGACGGCGTCAGGCAGTAAAGCAGTTCCTGCCGCTGGGTGAGATTTGGCTGGTGGTGGACGACAAGGTGTCACTGAGTTGTTTGTCAATAATTAGTTCATTGTATCTCGTGCTTAAAAGGGTTTCATTGAGCCTTTCAGCTGAGAAATAAGCGCCTCGTGCAGTTACTACGCAGTGTGTAGTATATCCACATTTCAACCCCATCTAACAAAACCGGTCGTATAATAACAGCAACTCGCCCTCAGTACGGTACCTCTTATGGCGCCTTGCCCTCTGTAGCAAGAGCTGGCTAGTATATGACTCCTGTCTCTAATCACCAGACAGTTTTAATTGCAGCAGGTTATGTATGAATGAAATTGGCACTTTATCTACAGCCTCTGACACGGCCCAAGGAACCTCAATTTTCATATAAGAAGGATTGTGGGAGTATTAGAACACGTCACACACCAAAGAAGACGGAGCAGGGATAACTAGTGAAATTTTGCTCTTCATGATTTGTCGCATTCCGCTTGTACTTTTTGCTTCTTAAAATAAGGCAAATGTCTATAGAATCTAGGAGATACAATATTACACCCTTGGAAATGATATTGATGATCTTTTTGCACTAGCAATTTTTCCTATACCTATTGTTAAGTATCAATAATTTTACCTTAGATAACATGATGTAATATTACAGCCATTGCAGATTATATTATGATTAAAAGAATATTGAAAATATACTACAAGTGAGGCACGATTACAGATAGAAGGAGAGTATTAAGGAGAGAGGTAGAGATGAGAAAAGGGAGGAAAGTGCTGGTGGAAGGGGAGAGAGGAGCAAGGGGGAAACAGTTCAAAATGTTCCAAGTGCTGGTTATTGTCACCAATAAACTCGGGCAGCGTTCTAGAACTTCCAGTGTTCACCAACCCAAGGCGCGGGAGGAGCTGTTGTTTACTTTATCCTCTTCGCCCCCGGTCAGCTTAGTGTGATTGTCTCTAAAACAATAGTTCCCAACCACCTGATTATGAAAGTTAAAAATATTGTGTTGTTGAACTGTGGACGACAAACCTTAAGACACAAAAATATGTGCTGTTGTTTTTTGTGATTTAGTTTTGTCCAAGCCAACCACTTTCAGTGTAGAAGCATGACAGCAATCAACTGTATGCACCATGAACACCTGACAGCTCACAATTTTGTAGCACTCCAACAAGTACATATTATCTTCTGTATATATTATGTAGAGCCTCTCCTCCTCGTGTTTGCCTTTAACCTAGTCAATATTCCTCCCCACTGAAAGTTCTCTTGTACTCTTCAATGGTCTCTGCTGTTTGAAACAGTTCCTCCATTGACT